GTCACTCATGGGCCATGATGCACTAAAGCAGAGGTTCTCAACGTAGAGTGGCGCTGCCCCTCACAGAAGACATTTGGCAATGGGTAGAGATGGATGCGGGGACACTACTGGCACCAGATCGCCACTGAACAATCTACACTGCATAGGACAACCCCTCACAACAGAATGATCTGGTCCAATGTGTCAACTGTGTTACAGTCGGGAAGCCCTGTACTAAAGAATCACATGAACAGCATTCCCATCCTTCCTCTTGGCATATGTGAAAATCACTTTAACTCATGCAATCTGAAAATCAGAAACAAAGAAGTCCCTGAAGATTGAAGCAGATCATTAGTCCTGGCTTGTGTGGATCAGTGGATTGAATGCTGGCCTGGGAACTAAGGGGTCGCTGGTTCCATTCCTAGTCAGGGTACATGCCTGGGTTGTGGGCTGGGCCCCCAGTGGGTTGTACGCAAGAGGCAACCACACGTTGATGTTTCTCTCCCTCTCTTTCTCTCTCCCTTCTCCTCTAAAAATAAATAAATACTATTTTTTAAACAACAGATCATTATTATGCCTCCTTTTGATATAATGAAGTACCCCCCGATTTTTGTAAGCAAGACCTGAAGGTGCCCCGTACATATTTAATTCCACCAATGGTACTGTGTTATATACAGATTCACAAACATTGTCCTCAGGACACGTTCAAGCAGATCTCCAGAAAGGGCAGGTCTGGGTGAAAACTCAAACAAGGCTCCAGATACGTAGTATTTTCGGAGCTGTAAGTCACTGATGATGTTAAGATGCATCATCAGCTAAATAACAGCTTTTGGGGATGTGGCAAAGAAATACTTCTACTTAAACATGAACATTGATTGTAAAATGTGAACCCTTTGTAGCGATAGTAAATATGCAAAATCTATATAGTATATTAAGTATGTGAGCAGATATACTAAGCTTTTTTCTAAAAAGAAATAGAAAAATAGATTAAGTGTATAAGAAGGTATACTAAACTCTTTCTGTAAAAAGAACCAGAAAGACTGAAATACTCTCCCTGGGATCTTTCTCCATCGGTGTTAGTCTCAGCTATTTTCCACCTAAGTTTTTACACTGTCCCCTCAACCTGCCGCCCCCACTCCAGGAAGAGGTCGCCCCCACTCCAGGAAGAGGTCGTGAGATGCAGGGTGGGTCGCAGTACCTCCACTAGATCCTCAGAAACAGAATGAACTAACACAAACTTCACAGGTTCCCTCTATTGTCCTCTCTTGGGATTTCTCCAAGTCTTTGACTGTGCATTGAGTACTGCACAGAACAGCTGTCCTAGCACCACTACAGCATATGACTTCATGTAACTAAACAAAGAAATAAATGCGCTTAGATGCAATACATACAATACTTGAAATTATTTTTAAATTCCATCTAAAAGCCAGTGACACCAATTACACATAAAGAAAAACTTACTATAAAACCTATATATTTGCCTATTGGCATATTATCTGCTTGTTCCAGTAGAAGTTAAAATCCATGTGAACAGGGATTTTGTCTGTGTTTAAATGAGTGAGTGAATGAATGAGTGAATTTCTTTTTTCAAACAGCAGAGTCATTATGCAACTGCAGACTTCTTTAATTTTCACACTAATGACAGGAGGCAACAGGACTCACTTCATGTTATGAACTATACATGTCCATTCATTCATTCCCTACTGAGTCTTTCATGACCTGCCCCTGCCACCCCTCCAGTTTTCCCTCACATCACGCCCCCACTACTCCCAGCAATGCTGGCGTCGGTTCAGTTCCCAGGAAGCTCCATGCTCTTCTGTCTCGGAGCCTCTGCCCAGAACACCATCCTCTCCATCCCCAGCCCCTTCACATTTCTGCAGGAGGCTTCCCTGCTCACCGCTTAAACCGGGTGTTGTGCCTGTGTTGGATAGTTTCATAGTTTCTCATGTTTGGTTCGGTCTGGTTTTCATTACAGGACCTATCACAGGTGTAAAATATATTTGTGGAATTATTCGCTTGATGTCTCGCCCCACCCCACACCCCTCGCTGTAGGCAGAAGCCAGGACTGCCTGGCTCCCCATTCACAGCCCCATCATCTGGCACGGCACCTGTCAGATCGCAAGCACTCAACCAGTATTTATTGAATAAATACATGCATTGTGTTTCTAGGAGCATAATCTGTTACCAAATATATGAGTCCATGTATTCTGTATGAATACGTGAGTATTGGGATTAAACTCCATGTATATGAGTCCATGTTCTACTGTACCGTTCTTCCTCGGACTCAAGTTAGGTGCTTAATCAAACTTCCTGGTGAATTGAGACCATCATTTATCTACTGCAAGCTACATTCTCGGAAATCTACACGGCCCTACAAGAACTTGTAATATTGCTCAGAACTCAACTGCTTTCTATTCTGTTTCAACATACTAATAAAAAAGCAGTTTGCTTTTTTCTTTTTCTCACTTAATTTATTAGTTGTTCTGGCATTAAGAACATAACTGGGTGGAAAATGGTGGTCAGGAAATCAATTATTTGGATAATGAGTATTTACTTGTTTCTATGCCTGTATTTTAAAACCTCTGGAAACAGATTTTAATTATCCTCTAAGTATTTGGTGTCTTGTACTCACAGCCTCTTAGATAATCTCTCCCCATTGCTGTTCCTGAGTGAAAGATTCTCTGTTTCACAAAACAGGAGCTTTTGTTAGAGAAGAATTTATGGAACACTGAAGATACAGAGTAGCAAACTCCTAAGCTAAAAGGATTAAGACAATATTTTTTAAGAGGAGGAGCAGCAAGAAAGAGGTCTTTAATGCAGAAAACTATAGAAAACCATAATTCTGTACAATCCCATGTAACTAAGGAGCTAGTCACATAGGAAGCCCTGGGGAGGAGTAAGGAATTCTTGAGGATCCAGATAAAATGACTGCAGCCCAGAGGAGCTAAAGAGAGACACCGAGACAACAGCAAATCAGAAATAATTATAAACCTGAATTTTATTTGTATACTTCACCTTAAAATAGTTTCTTTACATACCTCTTCCGTACCTATGGTTACCAGGACCTCTGTCACTAGGCAATTTTTATTCAAAAGTGTGGAACCCTTCAAATAAAATTCCAGAAATCCCAGGAAATTGGGGCAGAAGCTGCTAACTGAAGCCACCCTCTCAAAAGCCTGAGACAGGAAGCTTAGCCCCCTGTAAAGGGCTCACCCTCATCCCGGCCTTGGTTGCTCCCTTCACAAGCTAACAGTGGTCGGACGGGGGCTCAATCACTGCCTCAGAGCCTTTCTGTCCGTTTCTCATCCCAGCTGTCCTCCTCCAGGTCTGGCAGATGCTTCAGATCTGCAGCACGAAGTCCTGCAACCTCTCCTTGTTCCACAGAAACCAGAGGTGAAGCAGAGCGTATTTGGGGCTCACACGAGAAGGGCCTCCCCAGGGAGGGGTCACCCGTCCCTGAGATCACCAACAGAAGAGAGACCTGGGTGCTGGAGGAGGAGCAGAAACGACCGGGAGCCAACAGCAGCCATACCGACTGCCTACACCTCCAGGTAATGGGAAAAGATTCTTACGTTGAATTGCACTCCTGCTTTACTGTCTTTTGGCGCTCTCTTATTATTCTTCAGTTGAAATTAGAAAGATCCAAGAAACTAATGCAATGGCTAGGACTGTATTCAGGGTCGTGACAGTCACAAGTAGTTCGACCAGAGCACTATCTACAAGAAGCAGCCTCTCAGGCTGCCTCATCCCGGCCAACTCCAATGCACAGTTCTGTCTTGGCCTCCAGCAGAAAGGCACTGGGGCTGAGACTTAATTCTCAATGTCAGGAAGAGAGAGGAAAAAAACAACAAACTTTAGACTTTACTTAGCACAGCTTCAAATATTTCTTTACTGTTCTACAGATCTCATTCAGAGGACTGACCTACCAAATCTGGAAAACAGACTTTTCACTTTCACTTTCTTATGACATTCAGGCGAGCCGTGTTGCTCAGCAGATACTTACTAATAGGCCATAGAGACTTGGAGGGGATAGAGGAAGTAGGACGAGTGAAGCACATTTATGTTTCCTTTTATATCAACTTACCTCCCTCCTCCAATATCAGTAAATTTACTGCAATATCAGTAAAACACAAAGCAACGTTTGATTCTTGCCCACGTTTATTTTATTTCTGTCATTTGATCCTCATATAAAACTATTTGGTCAAGTAAATATTGGATTAATTTTATGCTTCATTTACAAACAGCCCCCAAAATGTATTGCCAGGGCCTAAGCCATATACCTTGCTTCTAAATCTTGGCTGGCTCTCATCTGGGGCCAGGAGCATATTTTGAAAATATCCACAAAATTCATATACCAGGTTTCCCTTTCTGAAAAGCCAGTTTCCTAAATATCCCACAAGATGGCTTTTGAGACCCACATCAACACACTGAGAAAGTAATAAGGTTCCTGTCTTAATAGGAAATGCACTGCTGTGGCCGCTGCCATCCAGATGATACTGCAGTAGAATTTCAGAAGGACCTTTTCTGAATTAGAAAACATCCCTTCCACTTGCTGCCCAGTATCCACTTAAATTCTCCATACCAAATGAGTAGATCGAGAAAGAAAGGAGGGGCATGTACATGTACGTATTACCCATTTTTTTTTTTTGGCCAGGAAGCAAGACAGGTTTTTAAATGATCAGTTATCTTGTTTTGTTTTGTTTTTAAGTGAATTTCTTATACTCAAGTAAGGTTTCTATGTAATCAGAGTCACCAGAGAAGGGAGCAGAATATTATAAAAATTTAGACTGGGGCCACAGTTTTCTTTTTCAGTAACATGAATTTATCAAGACTTAAAAATGGAAACGTATACCTCACGGCAAAACCTTAATGACAGATGTCAGCTAGCATATTCCATTCACCAAAGACCAAAACACAGAAACAGGCAACAGCCTCACTAGGAGGCAGTAACTTTGCATTCTGAGTCATAAGTTACACAGTTTGAAACTCAGGCATTCAAAGGGGTGAAAAAAGTAACTCACAGTACGCAGCCACGTGTAGCCTCAGGACTCGGAGCCTCCCACAGTATCGTGGCGGATTTTATCAGCGGCAGATTTTATCACCAGTGGTTCTGTGGCCCTGCAATTGAGACCACTCATAATCAATGAATATTTTACTTGCAGATTTGACAGCCCAGTTAAGCAGTTTACATAAGGCTGTTGCGTTTAATTCTTCTGTAGCTGCCTTTATAAACAGGAAACAGGAAACATACCTCCAAGAACACTGACATATTTCAGTCTAATTGGTCTTTGTCTGTATCACAGCAGGTGATAGGTACAATCCCTAAAACAGCAGGCTCATGTCCTGGCATTACACACTCTAAAGTCCTTTAGACAGGTGTTATGCAAGCAATTTATTCTAGGGAGGAACAGGCATTCTTAGTAACATTCAAGCTTTATGGCCTTAATCCTGGAAGGACTATAAACTTTAGGATAAATTCGTGTATATATACACACATGTATGAATTATATATATATATATAACTGTGTAATATATTAAGTAATATATTATTTAAAATAATAAATAACATTAAAATAATGTACATAACTTTTCCTGAAATATATAAAAACTACCATTCAGCAATCTTTTGGCTATGAATAACAGAAAACCCAACTCAAATTCACTGACACAAATAAATAACAACAAAAAAAAGAAAATATTTTGGTTCATTGAACTGTGGGGGGAAAACCCCAGATGCAGGGTTGGTTTGGGAAGCCAGAGGTTCACACTATCATTTGATTCTCTGCAGTTCTCTTGGCACAGGTGTTCTCTGTAAATTGACTTGAACTTCCAGCTGCCTCCCCTCCTGGTACAAAAAATAAAGGCTACAGCAGCTGAAGGCCACACATCCACCTTCCAAGGGGACAGTGTAGCATGCTGGCTGTCTCGGTCTGACGGAGTTGCTCAGACTGCCCATTGCTAAACCAGTCACCAAACTGTGCTGGCTGGCTTTAAATTAAGCGAGGTTTATCCGTGGAGGTGTGGGTAGAATCATTCTGAAGAAAAAATCTTGTGGAAAGACATTTAAGATACTGTGAGGAAGGGAAAGGGTGTAGGGGAAGAATACTGGGGAGAAAATCAACAAGTGTGCACAGAGACACCGCTCAGCAACAATCTGGATCTGGAGGTTGGTGCTGGAGGATGTGCACCCGGGAAACACTAGCTCTGGGGCTATCGGAAGATGCCTGAAACAGAAAGAACTGAGGTTCAACAGATGATTACCCAAGTCTTTACATTCAGTCAAACTTCCGAGTCACAGTAGATTTGCTCTCTGAGAAAATAGCTCAGCATCTTTCCTCCTTGTTTACAAAATACATTTTATGGTATATCAAGGGCTCTGACATTTGATCTTCCGTTCTGTCACCACTGAGGATCTATGTACAGCACTTCCTTGTATCTGGTACAGCATGTCCGGCTACCAAGAAAAAATTGCCCGGCAGACCAAAGGGCAAGAAACACAATTGGAAGAGACAGAGCAAGCATCAGAACCATACATGGCAGGGAAGTTGGAATTAAAAGATGACGAACTCATATGACGGCTGGAATAATTTACTGAGCCAAAAGTCAAGGCAGAGTCACAGCCAAAAATCAATTCCAGAGGGATTAAGGACTTAGTTGTGAAAAGCAAAATGTTAAAACTTGAAGAAAAAAAACACATCTTTCTGATCTCTGAATGGGAAAGGAATTCTTAAGGCACAGAAGTGTTAATCATAAAAGGAAAGGCTGACCATTTTCTTACTGTAATATTCAGATCCATTTATCAAAAGAAAACAAAAGATGTGCCAATATCTGAGACCAGTTTGCAACATGTAAAATCAACAAAAGACCGGTATTCAGGTCATATAAAGAAATGTTACAGATCAGTAAGAAAAAGACAACACAATAGAAAAATGAGCAAGAGATATGACACACTGTTCCAGAGGAGAAAAGTACAAATGGCGAGTGAACATATAAAAAGGGGAACAACCTCACTGGTAATCAAAAAAGTGCAAATTAAACTGATGGTGGGAGTATAAGTTCACACGAACACTTGCAAACAATTTAACCTCATCTCATGAATCTTACCAAGATGAATGTTTACATATCCTCCAATTGAGCAAACCCCGCCCCCCGCACCTATATTCTCCAGAGAAACATATATTTGCACGGGGAGACACGCACAAAGTGTTTTTAACAGCTCTACTCAAAATAGCAAAAAGCCATATTTAATGCAAATGCCCACTGACAGGAGAGCACATGAACTGAGTCATAATCATCCAATAAAATATTAGACAACAGGGAAAAATCAATAAATCACAGCTGTATGCAACAACTTAGGTGAACCTTAGAAATCTAATGAATGTAAAAAAAAAAGCAAGTATCAGGTAACTACATACAAATGATGACAGTTTTTAGTAAATGAAACTCCAGATCAGCAAAACCTAAGAATATTTTTGTTTCAGCAAACACACGTGTGATACTCTTTTTTTACAGTTCTATAATCATTTTATCACATGGAGATTTCACGTAGCCACCATTGTAATCAAGACACAGAACTGCCCCTTACTGCACAAAACTCCTTCTTACTGCCATTCTGTAGTCACAGTCATCCCCTCTGCCCCAGCCCTTATCCCTGGACAGCACTGACCTGTTCTCCATCTTTTGGTCATTTCTAGAATGGTAACCAGTTGAACCATACATTATGTGACTTTTTGATATTGGCATTTTTGTTCATTTGTTTGTTTGTTTACTCAGCATAATGCTCTTGAGATCTACCTAAGTTGTTGCATCCACCAGTGGTTGTCTTCTTTTATTGCTGAAGAATATTCTGTGGCTTGAATGTACCACAGTTTCTTTGGCCACCACTGTACGGCATTTTAGTTGTTTCGGGCTATTACAAATAAATCTTCCAGGAGAAACTGCACACAGGTTTTTTTGTGTGTGTGTGTGGATATAAGTTTTTATTTCTCTGGAATAAATCACAAGAGGGTGATGCTGGGTCATATGATAGATTTATGTTTAGTTTTTTAAAAACTGCCCAACTCTGGGACAACTGTAATGGCACAATAAATAAAATATAATGTAAAAAAATCTGCCCAACTATTTCTTAGAGTGGCTATACCATTTTAACCATCAGTGTATGAGAGATTCAGTTTTTCTGCATCCTTGTCAGCATATGGCATCCTTGCTATTTTCTATTTTAGTTTTTCTAATGAGCGTGTAGAGATAGTCATCATGGTCTTCATTTGCATTTCCCTAATAGCTAGTGGTGTTAAATATCTTTTCATGTGCTGATTTGCCATCTATATATTCTTTTCAGTAGAATGTCTCCTTATATATTTTTTTTGCTTACTCTCTAATAGAATTGTTTCTTTTTTAACTGTTGAGTTTTGAGTTCTTTGTACAATGTAGATATGAGTCTTTCATCAGGTATGTGTTTTGCAAATATTTTTTTAAGTGTGTAGCTTATCTTTTCATCTCCTTCAGAGTCATTCATGGGACAAATATTTTTAATTTGCATAAAGTCCAATTTATTTATTTTTTCTTTTAGTGATCATGTCTCTGATATCATGTTTTAAGAACTCTCATGGAGTGAAGCTTCTAAAGTTTTCTCTTATGCTTCATCTAAAAGTTTCATAGTTTATGTTTTACATTTAAATCTACAATCTATTTTGTGCTGTACAAGGTGTTTTTGTTGTTTGTTTGTTTTGCCCATGGATACCCAATCGCTCCGGCACCATCTGATGAAAAAAAATAAAATGTCTTTCCTCCACTGAATTGCTTTGGATAGTTGTCAAAAATCAGTCGGCTCTGCTTATATGTGGCTATCTCCAGGTTCTGTGTTTTGTTCCATTCATCTGTGTCTCTCCCTCTGCTAATTCTCCAGTCTCGACTACTGTAGCTATATAATGTGTCTTGAAATCAGTAGATCAATTCCTCCTACTTTATTCTTCTTTTTCAAAATTGTTAGACATCCTATTGCAGCTTTTTTCCCTTGTCATATACATTTTCAGAATAATCTTGTCTGTATCTAAAAAACTCTTTGCTGAAATTTTTATAATAATCACATTAAAAGTGAATATCAATTTGGGGACAACTGATGTCTTTACTACGCTGAATCTTCCAATTTACAAGTACAGTATGTCACTCCATTTATTTAGAACTTCATTGATTCCTTTCACTGGCATTTTGCAGTTTTGAACATACAAACTGTGTGCATGTTTTGTTAGGTTTACACATAAGTATTTCATGTTTTGAGCAATTATAAGTGACACTGTATATTTAATTTCAGCATCCATGTATACATTGCTAGCATATGGAAATACATAGGGAGGATTTTTTGTAGATTCCATTGGATTTTTCTAGCAGACCTCATGGCATCTGCAAAGAACAGCTCCATTCCTTTCTGATCTGTACACCTTCTGGTTTCTCTCCTTCATTTATCTCGCTGTGTAGAATTTCCAGTACTTGATAGATGCGGGTCTTTTATAAACATTCTGTATCAGTTTCAGGAAGTTCTTCTCTACTATTTTTCTGAGAGGTTTTTTTAAAAAAAAAGTCATAAATAGCTAGTTGAATTTTGTCAAATAATTATTCTGCTTCAATTAGTGCAACTGCAATTTTTTAGATTGTTTATACGGTGGACTATATTGATTGCTTTTCATATTAAATAGCCTTGCATCCCCAGAATAAACTCCATTTTGTTGTGGTATGTAACTATTTTCCTATTCAATATATTGCTGAATGCTGTGTGACAACACTTTGTTACGGAAAACTTGAGAGTCATGTTGTTGTCTCATGGGGCACTTTTTTGACTTGTGGTGTCAGAGTAGCTTTATAAAATGAATTGGGAATTATTCCCTCCTCTTCTATTTTCCGGAAGAGATTTATAGGATTAATACTTAATTCTTCTCTAAATATTTGGTAGAATTTTCCAGAGAAACTCTTTGGGTCTGCCAATTGTCTGTTTGGAGAGTTCTAAATTACTAACTTAATTTCCTTAGTTATACAGCTATTCATATTATTTTATATGGTGAGTTATGGTATTTCGTGCTTGCTGGGAAACTGTCCCATTTTATATAAGTTGTGAAACTCCATCG